CTTGGCGCTCCGGTACCGCTTGCCGTGCAGTAGCAGAGAGAACAGTCTATGACTAGGGTGGCTGGAGTCTTTGACAATTTTGAGGGCCTTCCTCTGACACCGCCTGGTATAGAGGTCCTGGATGGCAGGAAGCTTGGCCCCAGTGATGTACTGGGCCGTACGCACTACCCTCTGTAGTGCCTTGTGGTTGGAGGCCGAGCAGTTGCCATACCAGGCGGTGATGCAACCAGTCAGGATGCTCTCGATGGTGCAGCTGTAGAACCTTTTGAGGATCTGAGGACCCATGCCAAATTTTTTCAGTCTCCTGAGGGGGAATAGGCTTTGTCGTGCCCTCTTCACGACTGTCTTGGTGTGTTTGGACCATGATAGTTCGTTGGTGATGTGCACACAAAGGAACTTGAAGCTCTCAACCTGTTCCACTACAGCCCCGTCGATGAGAATGGGGGCGTGCTCAGTCCTCTTTTTTTTCCTGTAGTCCACAATCATCTCCTTTGTCTTGATCACGTTGAGGGAGAGGTTGTTATCCTGGCACCACACGGCCAGGTCTCGGACCTCCTCCCTATAGGCTGTCTCATCGTTGTCGGTGATCAGGCCTACCACTGTTGTGTCGCCAGCAAACTTAATGATGGTGTTGGAGTCGTGCCTGGCCATGCAGTCATGGGTGAACAGGGAGTACAGCAGGGGACTGAGCACGCACCCCTGAGGGGCCCCCGTTTTGAGGATCAGCGTGGCAGATGTGTTGTTACCTATCCTTACCACCTGGGGGCGGCCCGTCAGGAAGTCCAGGATCCAGTTGCAGAGGGAGGTGTTTAGTCCCAGGATCCTTAGCTTAGTGGATCCTTAGCTTAGTGCCTCCCTTGTGTCACGTCTCCTCCCGTTGTTCCCCTCCGGCGCTCTGATTTGCCGGTCTACTGAGCCACTGGTTTGAGCGCACCATCTCGGCAACACCGGAATGGAAACCCAACGCACCCTCATCATCTCATCACCACCCCTATGTAGCCCATGACTGTTCAGTGTTGTGTTGTGTGTGATTGTTAGTGGCTTGTCGTGTACTCGCTCTTTGTGGTTCTCTTGCTCAGTGTTAAGTAAACCTTTACATTGTTGATTCCTGCATCTGCGTCCTGCCTCTTCATATCCTCAGTACTCGTCATAACTTGCAATGATTGCATCATCATCCAATTCATTTGAGGAAGACGACTGAATAAATATTCTATTAATCAATAGTTTTTTTTGTGTTAAAAAATAGAAATATTAAAATACATACATACATTAAACATTTAGTAATGTCAGGATGCATTTGAAACTTCATGCACCGGAAAACTTTTGTATGACTTAATAAAGTTATTTTATCAATAGGAGTGGGAAAAAAGGTGCTTGTGCATCAATAGCACATGCATCAAAGCACACCAACGATGGCATTAACAATATGTAATAAAATAAAGCAGGCACCTCTAATAGCCTATTTCACACCATAGCCTGCTGAATTTGCAAGATCATTTTTCTTTTAATGTTGATTTGGCAAATATGGAAATGTGGCACTCAGTCGCAAATGGATTGGTGTTTCAGCACTGTCTAAATGGCGAGTTCAGCATTCGACTTGCTGGGGTTATCCACGTGCGACATGCGAGCACAGTTACAAGCCTGGCTGGAGTTAATAATAATAATAATAATAATAATAATATAATAATATGCCATTTAGCAGACGCTTTTATCCAAAGCGACTTACAGTCTTGTGTGCATATATTTTTACGTATGGGTGGTCCCGGGGATCGAACCCACTACCCTGGTGTTACAAGCGCCATGCTCTACCAATTGAGCTACAGAGGACCAATATCCACCTTCGTAACATGGATGAAGCCTGAGCTGGAATGTGAAGCTAACTGAAGTTGGCTAGCTTTATAAAATCCTGAGTAGATTTAGCTTGCATCGTAGTGTACCACTCTGCTCTCCATCTATAACCTATGTTCCTGTCAACAAGCTACAAACATAACCAACGCTCTTTTCTTCTGGAGCTTTTAGGAAGATTGTAATGCCCTGAGGGACCTAATAAGAGTACAACAACTCCTTTTGACTTCAAACTGAATGGCAGCATTATGGTGTGAGACTTGAGAACCCAGCTGAGCGTCTCGTTTGATGCAAGCCCTATCATACATTATTTAACAGCCAAAGGTTTTCTTTTTAACCACTCTCCCACAGCTCTGGGAGGCTGATGGCTTTGGCCATTGGAGTTGTGGAAAAGAGAGACGCACAGAATGCATAGTTACAAGTCCAGATTTCTCTCAAATGATTGTTGACTGCTTCTACGCACGCCAATGGTAGGTCTAGCAGATAAAATCTGGTTTTCTTGGATAAATAAAAAATATAATGTTAAAGTTCCATTTAAGTCATTTTGGTGAATGTAAACCGATAACAACAAGAACATATGACATCACTAAGCCAAGTCAGTCCCTTGTGGACTTTTTTTCTCTGCCTATCACCCCGACAATGCAGAGAAAAGCAAGCAGAGAAATACTGAAGCACAGACACATTAAATCATTCAAGGGTTAAGGGGGTGAACTCAACCATGTTCAATGATTGGTGGGGCGGATTAAAATAGTTTGCTGGCCTGTCTCAGCCCTTTCAGTTCAGCACGCAAATAAAGTGTGAGCCATATGGGAGGGCAAAAAAAGTAACTTATTCAGGCCAACCTCTCTAATGCTCACTGTTTGTTCTGTATACTATGTGCGTCACATAGCAGTGTGCTTGCAATGAATTAAAGACCCATTACTTGGTTAGCTATAAAGCTGAGGGGTGGCAGTGTTTCCCTTTTATGCATTTATAATGTAGATGTATGTCCCAGGAAGTCCCCATCCACAGGCTGTTTAGAAATGCAGTAAATGTTGGGTTATGATGGGGTTAGACAGTTGAACTGAGCTCATGAGACATTCTTCAAGAGACAATGTTTATATCATTAATTTAAATGATAAAAACTGCTGTCAAATATCACAGTGGGCCTTTAAACAAATGCAAGTCCAGTTACTTAACCTCAAAGTCATCCTGACAGTTGGCGTATGCTAATTCTCAACATAATTAACAGAATGAGGTCCAGTTGGCTGTTAAATGAATGCGCATTCCTTTTGTGATGGACATAAGCAGTTGCATTTGTCACTCCATCAAATATGAAGTGAGTTCTCCTTGCCATCTGCTTGCCATTACATACTTAGTCACACTGCTGCACATGATCCCCAGGGATGTGTCGGTGTGGACCCAGGGGGAGACGCACACATCCATCTATTCAGACAAACAACATCTGGGCCAATGAGTACAATGTGTGGCCATGTCACATGAAGCTACAGTATGCCCTGTAAACCAAAGTTGGTTATGTGAATGTTTTCAGAACATTTCATTAGATTGTCAGCAAAGGTGTAAGAACATTCCCCAAAAGTATCAGTATAAACAGAAAATCTGTCCAGTTATACGCATCATCACACAATGTTAGTTTTAGGGTGCACAGAACATTCCCTTGATGTTGCAAGAATGTTCACAAAAAGCTAATTTTTGTTCTTCAAAAGTTCCCAAAACATTCAGACAGACTATCGCATATCCTTTGACCGTGATGAAGTCAAATATGTTTCCTTTTGCTTGGGCCAAGAGTGTAAAGGTTTGCCCCAACAAGAGGCTGTCTACCTGGCCCAGAAGAAAGATAAAAGTGTGTTTAAGATGAGGAACTGAAGATGTCTACAATGTTGGAGATGGTCTAAACCTCAAACCACAAGGCAAATTAGAAATGCATCTTTGTCTTTTTAATCACCAGTTGGTTTCTCTCTCAAACGAAACACCTTATATATTTTGATCACAGCTCTCTGTTGATAGACAAACTCCACAGTTTAATGTTGCTGCTAGCAAGAGAGACCAACAAGAGAGAGGAAGGTGGGTGAAGGAAGAGATCTGACACTACATATAAATCACCAGAGGAGAGCCCTGTCACTCAGTCTTCCATTCTCTAGAAATAACCATGTCCAGATATAAGCTGACAGCTTATCTGTCTTGCAACACTCCTCTGCTGCTGAAGTTTGTGGCCTCAAGTGCATAACATGTGATCTCCAAGAAGCCCTCTGCTATCAACCTTATTATAACATGTGATCTCCAAGAAGCCCTCTGCTATCAACCTTATTATAACATGTGATCTCCAAGAAGCCCTCTGCTATCAACCTTATTATAACATGTGATCTCCAAGAAGCCCTCTGCTATCAACCTTATTATAACATGTGATCTCCAAGAAGCCCTCTGCTATCAACCTTATTATAACATGTGATCTCCAAGAAGCCCTCTGCTATCAACCTTATTATAACATGTGATCTCCAAGAAGCCCTCTGCTATCAACCTTATTATAACATGTGATCTCCAAGAAGCCCTCTGCTATCAACCTTATTATAACATGTGATCTCCAAGAAGCCCTCTGCTATCAACCTTATTATAACATGTGATCTCCAAGAAGCCCTCTGCTATCAACCGTATTAGTTGACTAGTTAAAAACATCTGTGGGTTGTAAGATGCCAGGACATCCCTTCTCTTTTCAAAATAAGGGCAACATGCAAAGCCTTATAGAATAACTAACGACACCTCTCACCCACGCCAAGACCAATGCAAACTCCTTCAGACCCGATGCAGATTCAAAGCCCCACTTTACAGAACCGCCAGAACACAAAAAAAATAAAACATCCAAGCAACCATCAGCCTACTGAACAAGGGACAACAGCATGTTCTATTAGTTGACAGGTAACAAACTCTTAAAGGATGTGAGAGTCATATACACATCCAAAATCCTCAAACAGGTCCCTGGCCAATAATAGATTATTTGAATACAGAAAGAATGCCCACACACAGTATGCCCCAGCTGCTTGGATTTCATCTACAACACACTAGACAACTTTACGGCTGCAATAGCCTTCATTAGGTCACATGGGAACAGAATATACTTTGTTCAGGCTTTTTACTTAATTGATATCAGGTCTCTCACCCTTGGTGGATTCGTCCTCAATAGGCTGCTTGAAGACAGTTATGTCTTTGAAGGTACACAGGAACAGAACCACCTTGTCGTTCTCATTCCTGATGGGAGCCACCTGCATGTAGAGCCATATGGGTGTCCCTGCAGAGTAAAAGAGGAGAAGGGAACCAAGGAAGGAGTGTAAAAGGCTACATAATAGGAAAAGATCTGGTATCATTAGGTAATCTCTGGTACTTATTTATATTTAAACACAAATGGCAACTACAGATGTAGGCTCTTAATTTGAGCCAGTTTGCTACAGCAGGAATATAATCATGCAGCAACAGGAAATGTGAGTTATTATGTGGATTATAATTAATGGACATTTGTGTAGTGGTTCATACATTTTTCATTAGGGAAAATCAAGTCTGAAATTTCTAAGTGGAAATTACAAACTTCAGAAGCCTTTTTAAACCTAAAATACACTACAAGTTTAAAATGTCCTGCATTGCACGAAAGTTATCCTGCAACAGGGTGATCAAATTAAGATCTTACATCTGTACCTGCTATTAAATTGAGTTAATGGGGCTTATTTCAATAAATACCAATGAATACCAAAGAAACAAACAAGTGTTTTGTTCATATATTGTGCAATTACAATTTTACAGAGTAAATATCTGATTATTTCTGTGCCATAGAATAGATTGCTACCAATTTGTATTCCTTTACTTCTACATATATACCATTGATACTTAGGAATATTGCAGGTGGAATTGTTGCATAAAGCACCTTTAAGTGTATAATCATGTAATGTCAGTGAGAATAGAATACTGTAGAATAACTTCATTTTCCCCAGAGGGAACTTTAGTAATAAAACGTTTCTAAAAACCGTAGCCACTTTAACCCCATCCTCACAGCGGAAAACCCCTAACCTAAATTGACAATGATAGCTAGTGACATCTTTATACTCACTGTTCTTCTTATAGAGCAGCACTTCAAAGCAATGGGATTCATAGTTATCAAAGGTCTGCCTGACTTCATTTATTGTGTTCTTGTCTGTCAGGTCCCCATACATGAAACTGCAGGAGCCAAAGAAGGAGAGGGTTAAAAAAATGCATGGTAGGTAGGGTTAGTTTGATAGAGGAAAAAAAAATTGAAAGACAGATGGGGAAAAACAAAGAGAGAGGGTTAGTAGTGCAAACCTGTGTGGCATGAACATCCACACAACAGTCACCATTTTATCACTCATTGAACTGTAATTTTGCTCATGGGATCGTGATGACATTGACTGTCAAATCCTATAGATACAGTGTTTGTGTTGAACAAAAGAGAGGCCTGAGTAAGCAAGAGGGAGCTGATAACATGATAACCTCCCAAACCCAACCCTAGGTGAACCGTGGATGAACATGCAACATTGACGCAACGTCAGAGTAATTACCCTTTTAAAATAATTACTTAAAAGCAGTGTTTTGAGTATTTGAGCAGCATTTCCTAAATGTTGGCAGGTTTTTCACTCCATATCATGATTAAATATCCATATTATGATTTCAACATTAAGTTCAAATTCTAAACATCCTGTGGTAAGCCTAAATCAGAATATTTTCTCCATGTAAACTATTGCCATTGTGCCCCTGATCAAACCCTAACCTGCTCTGCGGATGACACTTTGCTGCTCCCTGCCTGCGGTGGGTGTGTCCAGTTATACACATCATCACACAAAATGTGTTTTAGAACACAGAACATTCTTCAAAAGTTCCCAAAACATTCAGACAGACTATCGCATATTCTTTGACCGTGGTGAAGCAAAATATGTTTTCCTTTTGCTTGGGCCATGAGGTTAAAGGTTTGCCCCAACAAGAGGTTGTCTACCTGGCCCAGAATAAATATTTAAGTGTGTTTAAGTTGAGGAGCTGAAGATGTCGGAGATGGTCTTAACCTCAAACCACAAGGCAACACCTCGATTAGGCGGATTTAAATCCTTATTTTGTTTAATGATTTTGAATGTTAGTGTATTTTTATCTATATAGCCTACACTTTCTCGTTCTGAACTTACAGTGCCTTCAGAAAGTATTCGCACCTCGACTTTTTCCACATTATATTGTTACAAATTGGGATTAAAGTGGATTTAATTGTCTATTTTTTCAGCGATATACACAAAATACTCTGTAATGTCAAAGTGGAAGACAAATGTTTTTTTAAGATTAATGAAAATAAAACACTAATATATCTAGATTAGATAAGTATTCAACCCCCTGAGTCAATACATGTTAGAATCCCCTTTGGCAGCGAGTACATCTGTGAGTCCTTTTGGGTAAGTCTCTAAGAGTTTTGCACACCTTATACAATATTTGCCCATTATTCTTTCTTAACTCTTCAAGCTCTGTCAAGTTGGTTGTTGATCATTGCTAGACAGACATTTTCAAGTCTTGCCATAGAGTTTCAGCAGGCCACTGTCATCTTGGTAAACAACTCCAGTGTATATTTGGCCTTGTGTTTTAGGTTATTTTCCTGCTGAAAGGTGTCTGTTGGAAAGCAGACTTAACCAGGTTTTCCTCTAGGATGTTGCCTGTGCTCAGCTCTATTCCATTTCTTTTTATCCCCCCAAAAAACTAGCTAGTCATTGCCGATGACAAGCATACCCATAACATGATGCAGCCACCACCATGCTTGAAAATATGGAGAGTGGTACTCAGTAATGTGTTGTGTTGGATTTGCCCCAAACATAATGCTTTGTATTCAGGACAAAAAGTTCATTTCTTTGCCATATTTTTTTGCAGTATTACTTTAGTGCCATATTGCAAACAGGATGCATGTTTGGAATATTTGTATTCTGTACAGACTCATTTATTTTCACTCTGTCATTTAGGTTAGGGTTTAACAATGCTGTTGATCCATTGGAAAACCTCCCATGTCTTTGTGGTTGAATCTGTGCTTGAAATTCACTACTCGACTGAGGGACCTTACAGATAATTGTTCAGTGGGGAAAAAAAGTATTTAGTCAGCCACCAATTGTGCAAGTTTTCCCACTTAAAAAGATGAGAGAGGCCTGTAATTTTCATCATAGGTACACGTCAACTATGACAGACAAAATGAGAGAAAAAGAATCCAGAAAATCACATTGTAGGATTTTTAATGAATTTATTTGCAAATTATGGTGGAAAATAAGTATTTGGTCAATAACAAAAGTTTCTCAATACTTTGTTATATACCCTTTGTTGGCAATGACACAGGTCAAACGTTTTCTGTAAGTCTTCACAAGGTTTTCACACACTGTTGCTGGTATTTTGGCCCATTCCTCCATGCAGATCTCCTCTAGAGCAGTGATGTTTTGGGGCTGTCGCTGGGCAACACAGACTTTCAACTCCCTCCAAAGATTTTCTATGGGGTTGAGATCTGGAGACTGGCTAGGCCACTCCAGGACCTTGAAATGCTTCTTACGAAGCCACTCCTTTGTTGCCCGGGCGGTGTGTTTGGGATCATTGTCATGCTGAAAGACCCAGCCACGTTTCATCTTCAATGCCCTTGCTGATGGAAGGAGGTTTTCACTCAAAATCTCACGATACATGGCCCCATTCATTCTTTCCTTTACACGGATCAGTCGTCCTGGTCCCTTTGCAGAAAAACAGCCCCAAAGCATGATGTTTCCACCCCCATGCTTCACAGTAGGTATGGTGTTCTTTGGATGCAACTCAGCATTCTTTGTCCTCCAAACACGACGAGTTGAGTTTTTACCAAAAGGTTCTATTTTGGTTTAATCTGACCATATGACATTCTCCCAATCCTCTTCTGGATCATCCAAATGCACTCTAGCAAACTTCAGACGGGCCTGGACATGTACTGGCTTAAGCAGGGGGACACGTCTGGCACTGCAGGAGTCCCTGGCGGCGTAGTGTGTTACTGATGGTAGGCTTTGTTACTTTGGTCCCAGCTCTCTGCAGGTCATTCACTAGGTCCCACCGTGTGGTTCTGGGATTTTTGCTCACCGTTCTTGTGATCATTTTGACCCCACAGGGTGAGATCTTGCGTGGAGCCCCAGATCGAGTGAGATTATCAGTGGTCTTGTATGTCTTCCATTTCCTAATAATTGCTCCCACAGTTGATTTCTTCAAACCAAGCTGCTTACCTATTGCAGATTCAGTCTTCCCAGCCTGGTGCAGGTCTACAATTTTGTTTCTGGTGTCCTTTGACAGCTCTTTGGTCTTGGCCATAGTGGAGTTTGGAGTGTGACTGTTTGAGGTTGTGGACAGGTGTCTTTTATACTGATAACAAGTTCAAACAGGTGCCATTAATACAGGTAACGAGTGGAGGACAGAGGAGCCTCTTAAAGAAAAAGTTACAGGTCTGTGAGAGCCAGAAATCTTGCTCATTTGCAAATAAATTAATTAAAAATCCTACATTGTGATTTTCTGGATTTCTTTTCCTCAATTTGTCTGTCATAGTTGACGTGTACCTATGATGAAAATTACAGGCCTCTCTCATCTTTTTAAGTTGGAGAACTTGCACATTTGGTGGCTGACTAAATACTTTTTTCCCCCACTGTATGTGTGGGATATCATGTTAACCACTATTATTGCACACAGAGTGAGTCCATGCAACTAATTATGTGACTTGTTAAGCACATTTTTACTGAGCATATTTAGGCTTGCCATAACAAAAGTGTTGAATACTTATTGACTCAAGACATTTCAGCTTTTAATTTTTTATTAATTTCTAAAAATGTCTAAAAACTAAATTCCACTTTGACATTGTGGGTTATTGTGTGTAGATCAGTGGCACACAATGTCAATGTAATCTATTTTAAATTCAGGCTGAAGGCACTGTATAACATGGGTGGGATATAAGGATGGGTGTGGTTTCGTGACAATGACCACAAAAGCCGCTCACCAATTTGACAGCTCCAATGTGTTATACCTCCAACATCGTCCAAAGAAAAAAAACAATAATATGCTATGCGATTGTCAGTTACCGCAGGTTAACGCTGATCTGATCTAGGCCCTAAGTCTACAAATTAAAGCCACTTCCGTCAATCCCACCCATCCTCTCCAACTTTTATCTCCTATCATTCTGGTCACTCTGATCTTATCAGGTGAAAAATAAAGTATTTTTTACAGAAGATATCCCCATAGCAACAGCTTTTGGATCTTTGTCTGCCTATTTCTTAGGAAGGCCAGTGTGCAGCAAGTGTGGGTTATTTTCAGAAGCCCCATTACTGTCAGTGTCTGCAAGTTCAGTGTGCGCAGCTTCAGTCAAAAAACGTAAGCACTCTTGCTATGTGTCAAAGTATCTATTCTGTTCTGTGATCATGCATAGCCATCAAGACATGGCAAAAATGAGGGGGGAGGGGTGTGACAATTTAGGGCTCCATCTCCTGCATGACAGCAAATCCCACTCCTTTGGGTATTACAAGTGTGCAGGACACCCTAATTAAAATACTTTAAATCGAGAATGTATCACGTCAAAGATATCTCACCATTTCCTCTCCAACAGTTTATAATCCATTACAGTTACTATTTATACAGTATGAATAACACCTCCCCTCCCACCTCAGCACAAGCAAGCTGATGTGACTGTTAAATTGCCATATACAAGGGCAAGCCAGCTGCTTCGGCCATGTAATTGAGCCTTCTTAATCAGAGTAATTAATTAAAATGAAATCCTGTATACTGGGCCCCCAGGACTGGAGCAGAGAAACCTTAGATTATACTATACAAATATACTGAACATTCCACCAAGTACAGACCAAGATTTAAATTTTTAAATTTTAGTCATTTAGCAGACGCTCTTATCCAGAGCGACTTATAGTTAGTGAGTGCATACATTTTCATACTGAGATGCAATTATCATTACTGTTTCATGAGTTCTCTGAGAGGGAAACACAAAGTGTTACAACAGCAGCAGCTTATAACTGCACAATTTGCACACGCATTATCAAGTATTATCCACATAGGAAGTTGTTCAACACTGTCAGTTATTTTTTTGCATACATACACTGAGTGTACAAAACATTAGAAACACCTGTTCTTTCCATGACAGACTGACCAGGCGAATCCAGGTGAAAGCTATGATCCCTTATTGATGTCACTTGTTAAATACACTTCAAATCAGTGTAGATGAAGGGGAGGAGACAGGTTAAAGAAGGATTTTTAAGCCTTGAGACAATTGAGACATGGATTGTGTATGTGTGCCATTCAGAGGGTGAATGGGCAAGATAAAATATTGAAGTGCCTTTGAACGGGGTATGGTAGTAGGTGCCAGGCGCACCGGTTTGAGTGTGTCAAGAACTGCAACGCTGCTGAGTTTTTCACACTCATCAGTTTCCCGTGTGTATCAATAATGGTCCACCACCCAAAGGACATCCAACAGTCTTGACACAACTGTGGGAAGCATTGGAGTCAAAATGGGCCAGCATCCCTGTGGAACGCTTTTGACACCTTGTAGAGTCCATGGCCCAACGAATTTAGGACTGTTCTGAGGGCAAAATGGGGGAGAGGGGGGGGGTGAAACTCAATATTAGCAAGGTGTTCCTAATGTTTTGTACACTCAGTGTATTTGTTTACAGATTTGTAAACATAAAAAATTAAATGAAAAGATAAGAAAAGCATGTGTGGAAGGGGTCAGGAATAAGAACTACATTCACAAATCATATATAACCATATATCATGCTGTATAAATATTCATAATGTGACATAACCATACATTTATTTGTTCACATGTATTAATCTTTTATAGAGCATGAAATACAGTTATAGATTATTTGTGATTTATGCAGTGCTTATGAAGCCTATATGAATGCTTTATGAAGCCAATCAATCAATCAATCAAAGTATAAAACCTGACAGCAGAGGGGTTATAATTAAACAGATTTTTTAATTAAACAGTTTTTTTATGTGACCACAGAGCAATTGGATATTCTACATATACCTTGTGTGTGTGTACCAAAACTGGACTGTGTAATGACCTCCTTTAGTCCTTCTCCCACTGTCAACTCACGTTACATGCATGTGCAAACAAATCATTTTTACCATCCGTGGATATGTTAAGCTTCTGTGAGCAGTGGAAATAATGGGTGACAGGACAGGGACAGAGGCCCAGTTCTTACCTGCATGTACTGCTCCTCTGCATGACTTCTGCCCTGTGGTACCCCGACAGCTTACAAAACCCGTCATTACTGTATACTACTGGCCATTCCACTATCTGGGCGTTCCCCAACAGGAAACTTGTTTCTGAAACACAGCCATGGAAAAAAGCAGAAAATCCAAATAATTATAGAAAGTGAGTTCAGTCCCTAATCTCAAAATGTAAACAATTGTAAATAAAGAAAAATCCCATTGTTCCTTCACCACTTTTATCGATAAATATGGAAATGGTAAATGGGTTGTTTGGGGGTATTTTGGGGTTGTTTTTAGTAGTTTTTAGTAATTAGTAGGACCCTTTAAATAAGCTTGTTTTGTTTACACCCTGAACATTGTCTAATTAATCACAGAGCTAAACATAATTTGTTTTCTATGGTGCAGGAGCAATTTGATAATGCCTGTGCAGATGTTCCCCATATACAGGTGTGATCATTTGATCTCATCTCGTTATCCTGCAAGGCAAGTTTTGAAATAGTTCATGTTCATTTGGACTACAGTGAGCAATAGTTTCCCATTATTGGTTCTGGTCCTTTAAATGGTATACAACTGTGCGAGAGAAGAGAGGTTCCTTGCCCTAGATTGCAAACTGCCATCTGCCTGAAAAACCATCCTACTTAGATCACAGAAAAAATACAGATAGGCTTGTTAGTACTTAGTGTCTACAAGACATACAGTGGCTTGCGAAAGTATTCACCCCCCTTGGCATTTTTCCTATTTCGTTGCCTTAGAACCTGGAATTAAAATTGATTTTTGGGGGGTTTGTATCATTTCATTTACACAACATGCCTAACACTTTGAAGATGCGAAATATTTTTTGTTGTTGAAACAAACAAGAAATTAGACAAAAAAAACAGAAAACCTGAGTGTGCATAACTATTCACCCCCCCCCCCCCCCCCACTCCACCCTTTTTGCAGCAATTATAGCTGCAAGTCTCTTGGGGTATGTCGCTATAAGCTTGGCACATCTAGCCACTGGGATTTTTGCCCATTCTTCAAGGCAAAACTGCTCCAGCTCCTTCAAGTTGGATGGGTTCCGCTGGTGTATAGCAATCTTTAAGTCATACCACAGATTCTCAATTGGATTGAGGTCTGGGCTTTGACTAGGCCATTCCAAGACATTTAAATGTTTCCCCTTAAACCACTTGAGTGTTGCTTTAGCAGTATGCTTAGGGTCATTGTCCTGCTGGAAGGTGAACCTCTGTCCCAGTCTCAAATCTCTGGAAGACTGAAACAGGTTTCCCTCAAGAATTTCCCTGTATTTAGCGCCATCCATCATTCCTTCAATTCTGACCAGTTTCCCAGTCCCTGACGATGAAAAACATTCCCACAGCATGATGCTGCCACCACCATGCTTCACTGTGGGGATGGTGTTCTCGGGGTGATGAGAGGTGTTGGGTTTGCGCCAGACATAGCCTTTTCCTTGATGGCCAAAAAGCTCAATTTGAGTCTCATCTGACCAGAGTACCTTCTTCCATATGTTTGGGGAGTCTCCCACATGCCTTTTGGCGAACACCAAGCGTGTTTGCTTATTTTCTGGCCACTCTTCCGTAAGCCCAGCTCTGTGGAGTGTACGGCTTAAAGTGGTCCTATGGAAAGATACTCCAATCTCCGCTGTGGAGCTTTGCAGCTCCTTCAGGGTTATCTTTGGTCTCTTTGTTGCCTCTCTGATTAATGCCCTCCTTGCCTGGTCCGTGAGTTTTGGTGGGCGGCCATCTCTTGGCAGGTTTGTTGTGGTGCCATATTCTTTCCATTTAATAATGTATTTAATGGTGCTCCGTGGGATGTTCAAAGTTTCTGATCTTTTTTTATAACCCAACCATGATCTGTACTTCTCCACAACTTTGTCCATGACCTGTATGGAGTGCTCCTTGGTCTTCATTGTGCCGCTTGCTTGGTGGTGCCCCTTGCTTAGTGGTGTTGCAGACTCTGGGACCTTTCAGAACAGGTGTATATATACTGAGATCATGTGACAAATCATGTGACACTTAAATAAAGTCCACCTGTGTGCAATCTAACTAATTGTGTGACTTCTGAAGGTAATCGGTTGCACCAGATCTTATTTAGGGGCTTCATAGCAAAGGGGGTGAATACATATGCACGCACCACTCTTCCGTTATTAATTTTTTTGAATTTTTTGAAACAAGTTATTTTTTAAATTTTACTTCACCAATTTGGACTATTTTGTGTATGTCCATTACATGAAATCCAAATAAAAATCAAGTTAAATTACAGGTTGTAATGCAATAAAATAGGGAAAACGCCAAGGGGGATGAATACTTTTGCAAGCCACTGTATAAGGAGCTGTAACATACTGTATATAGGGCACCGTACTATGGTGCCATACTATTCATGTTCTCTATTTTATCTGCCATCCCATTGCTCTTAAAATTAGCTATGAGTTGCTACAAAGAGATGTGTAACTACCTCTGTCGTCTCCCCATCCACCCGGGCTTACTGTCTTATGAACCCTAAAAGTGCCAACATATTTATATACTTGAAAGCTCCGAATTGATAATTTTTTATTTATTTGTTTATTTAACCTTTATTTAACCAGGTAAGCCAGTTGAGAACAAGTTCTCATTTACAACTGCGACCTGGCCAAGATAAAGCAAAGCAGTGCGATAAAAACAGCAACACAGAGTTACATATGGAATAAACAAAAACGTACAGTCAATAACACAATAGAAAATAGAAAATCTATTTACAGTGTGTGCAAATGTAATAAGTTATGGAGGTAAGGCAATAAATAGGCCATAGTGCAAAATAATTACAATTTAGTATTAACACTGGAGTGATAGATGTGCAGAAGATGATGTGCAAATAGAGATACTGGGGTGCAAATGAGCAAAATAAATAACAATGTAAATAACAATATGGGGATGAGGTAGTTGGGTGGGCTAATTACAGATGGGCTGTGTACAGGTACAGTGATCGGTAAGTTGCTCTGACAACTGATGCTTAAAGTTAAGGAGGGAGATAAGTGTCTCCAGTTTCAGAGATTTTTGTAGTTCGTTCCAGTCATTTGCAGCAGAGAACTGGAAGGAATGGCGGCCAAAGGAGGTGTTGGCTTTGGGGATGACCAGTGAGATATACCTGCTGGAGCGCATACTACGGGTGGGTGTTGCTATGGTGACCAATGAGCTAAGATAATGCGGGGATTTGCCTAGAAGTGATTTATAGATGACCTGGAGCCAGTGGGTTTGGCGACAAATATGTAGTGAGGGCCAGCCAACGAGAGCGTACAGGTCACAATGGTGGGTAGTATACGGGGCTTTGGTGACAAAGCGGATGGCACTGTGATAGACTACATCCAATTTGCTGAGTTGAGTGTTGGAAGCTATTTTGTAAATGACATCGCCGAAGTCAAGGATCGGTAGGATAGTCAGTTTTACGAGGGCATGTTTGGCAGCATGAGTGAAGGAGGCTTTGTTGCGAAACAGGAAGCCAATTCTAGATTTAACTTTGGATTGGAGATGCTTAATGTGAGTCTGGAAGGAGAGTTTATGGTCTAACCAGACACCTAGGTATTTGTAGTTGTCCACATACTCTAGGTCAGACCTGCCGAGAGTAGTGATTCTAGTCAGGGCGGGTGCAAGCAGCGTTCGATTGAAGAGCATGCATTTAGTTTTACTAGCCTTTAAGAGCAGTTGGAGGCCACGGAAGGAGTGTTGTATGGCATTGAAGCTCGATTGGAGGTTTGTTAACACAGTGTCCAATGAAGGGCCAGATGTATACAAAATGGTGTCATCTGCGTAGAGGTGGATCTGAGAGTCACCAGCAGCAAGAGCGACATCATTGATATACATTTACATTTTAGCGACTTATAGTTAGTGAGTGCATACATTATTTTATTTTTCATACTGCCCCCCCCCCCCGTGGGAATCGAACCCACAACCCTGCCGTTGCAAACGCCATGCTCTACCAACTGAGCTACATCCCTGCCAGCCATTCCCTCCCCTACCCTGGACGACGCTAGGCCAATTGTGCGCCGCCCCATGGGTCTCCCGGTCGCGGCCGGCTACAACAGAGACTGGATTCGAACCAGGATCTCTAGTGGCACAGCTAGCACTGCGATGCAGTGCCTTAGACCCCTGCGCCACTCGGGAGGACGATATACACAGAGAATAGAGTCGGCCCGAGAATTGAACCCTGTGGCACCCCCATAGAGACTGCCAGAGGTCCAGACAACAGGCCCTCCGATTTGACACATTGAACTCTATCTGAAATGTAGTTGGTGAACCAGGCGAGGCAGTCAGTTGAGAAACCAAGGCTATTTAGTCTGCCAATAAGTATGCAGTGATTGACAGAGTCAAAAGCCTTGGCCAGGTCGATGAAGACGGCTGCAAAGTACTGTCTTTTATCAATCGCGGTTATTATATCGTTTAGGACCTTGAGCGTGGCTGAGGTGCACCCATGACCAGCTTGGAAACCAGATTGCATAGCAGAGAAGGTACGGTGGGATTTGAAGTGGTCGGTGATCTGTTTGTTAACTTGGCTTTCAAATACTTTCGAAAGGCAGGGTAGGATGGATATAGGTCTGTAACAGTTTGGATCTAGAATGTCACCCCCTTTGAAGAGGGGGATGACCGCGGCAGCTTTCCAATCTCTGGGGATCTCAGACGATACGAAAGAGAGGTTGAACAGGCTAGTAATAGGGGTTGCGACAATTTCGGCGGCTAATTTGAGAAATAAATGGTCCAGATTGTCTAGCCCAGCTGATTTGTAGGGGTTTTGCAGCTCTTTCAGGACATCAGTAATGATTGCAAAGAGACACTGTCTGTCAAGCAGTAGCACTTTTCATTTTATTAATCTCTTGTAACACAAGTAAATTGTTTAAATTCCCCGCCCCCAATGTTTTTTTATAATAAATATTTCTAATAAAATAATCAATAATATATTTTTTCATGTTCACACATTTGTAGTCAAATTTGATGTTTAAAAATATATGTTTTGCATGTTTTTAACAGGTATTGTGATACATTTCATCCATAGCAACTTGTCATAAACCTTTTTCTGTTATTCATTGAAAGTGTTGTGTTTCTGTGAAATGGCCATCTACACTGAACAAAAATATAAATGTAACATCTA